TTTTGCAATAAAGCTACAAATGACATCCATTATAGTGCCTGGCCACCTTTAGGGCTCTATTTTAAAGGGCCATGAAACCCCCTCGTTTCAGCAGGGTGTTTTCACACCTCTACTTTGGAAAAAGTCAGAATAGTGGGCATGTCCAGCTCTGTTTAGGGGGGAGTGTCAGAGGAAGAAAAGTGAGATGGTGTGGGAGTGTCTATTTGGGCACGCGCGAGTTTCAGAGTCAAAATACACACACACACACACAGGAGAAAGTGATGGTGTTTAACCTACATGGACATCTGTGGTCGAATTATTTGCCAAATTATTAAATGGTGGACTAACTGCAGTTTGGCTCTTTCATTCAGGGAATTCATTCATGCCCCTCGCGACAAACGAGATATTTGATTCGAGGAACTGCTCTAAGCGTGTATTTTTCATGCAATGTTTTAATACCGCATGGCGAATGAGAGAAAAAAAACCTCCACGTTTCCTGGAAACTTAGATGCACATGGCAGGTAGCGTCAGAAAGCTGCGTGTGTTATTCAGGTCACTAAATGCGGTGAAAACCCTACACAAGGTTTAAGTTTGGTTGTGGTGCTAACATGTTTACACTCTGTGCAATGGTTAACTTAGTTCGATACGAACAAACTGAATAAACAAAGAGCACTGGTTGCTCACTTACCAAATCTGTAGAGACAGGACAATCACCAGCAACTAGAGCCGCGTCTTTATTAAGAGAATACTACAAGAGAATCCGGATCTCAGCACTTGCAGATGAGAACAGCTCTTAGGTAAACAATAATCCTCCTTAGACACGTAAGTTATTGATGTCGAGCGTCGCGTACACTGTAAATCCACACGTGAGTCTGAGCTCTCACAGAGAGAAAATGAAAACGAAACTTTACTGCAGCAAACTATAAAAGCAACAATTCACTCTTGTTTTGCCAATACAATGTGGTGTGAGTGTCGTCTAAACACTGTGACAGTAATGAATATTAATGAAGTTGCACAATAGAGCGCGCTGATTGGTTTGAACCAAGCCTTACTCATGCATTAATGCATCAAACTGTAAGACGTAATAAGACACACTCTGGCACAGATGCCCAGTCTGCACGCTGGAATACAACGCTATTATGTCATGACCGTGACGCAGCTTCAAAAATTCGTTTCAAACCGGAAGTACGAATTTGCTTGAAATAACGCAAAAACAACCAATTTACACTTTTTAGTGAAATGTAGGTGTCCTAATAGTGTTTATAGCAGTGTGGGACACGTATACGACTGTCAACAGCTCAAAAAATGTGTTTTGGTGTTTCGTGACCCTCCAGGTGCAAAGTCTAAAGTGCATGGCGCAAAAGCATTAAGTGTTTACCTGAATCCATTTTTGCTATTTTAAGGACAGAAAAATATAGCTCCCCTTCGAATGGGGAACTCCAATGCTATTAGTGGATTTGAACTATGAATCCACGAATGGGAGATTTCGTTTCAGAAAGCCAATTGTCTAAAAGAGTATGTAACGGGCCAATGACATGCTAATGAAGCCTCAGTGGCTTATACGCACAATCAGACTCAGCTATGCGATTCACTTTGCGAAACGGCTTCAGAAGTTCATGGGTGTGTATTCACCAGGGTCAGCCCCCTGTCTGCCCCTGTCTTGTGATAGGAGATTGCTGCACAAGCTGCCGTTCAGAATGCTCACGTAGAAGCGCATCCTCCGGTGCGTTCGTCCTCTGGATTGGTTTGCAGCAATAGACTTGAAGGACGCGTATTTCCATGTCTCCACTCTTCTCCGCCACCACCAGTTCTGCGGTTTGCGCAGTTCTCCCCTTCGAGCTCTCTCTGTCTCCGCGGGTCCTCACCAAGCTCGCGGAGGATGCCTTAGCGCCCCTTCGGCTCGTGGGCATCCGCATACTCAATCATACTCAACCACTGGCTGATTTTAGCCCACTCTCGGAGCAATTGATTATGCACAGAGACAAGGTGCTCCCGCACCTCCACCTGTTGGGGTTTCAGGTCAACCGAGAAAAGCGCAAACTCGCCCAGAGGATCTCTTTTCTCAGCGTGCCTCTCCGGAGAGCGCGCTCAGCTGATGCTGAACTGTCTGAGAGACAGCAAAATAGTGGTCCCACTGAAATTATTTCATCCGCAGCCGCTTCACGCCTCTCAGATTACTACATATGAGACCACTCCAGCACTGGCTTACGATCGAGTCCCCAGATGCGCATGGCACGTGCGCGCACACCGAGTCTCTGTACTGCGCTGTGTTCGCTCTCGCCGCATGTCTCAGCTCGCCCGCCGTCTGCTCCTCTGGAGTCATCCGCGGCTGAAATCGCTGCGCGCCATTTACATTTCAGGCAAGCTTAACCGTGCAGCTGATGTGCTCTAACGGCAGCCTTTACGTCCTGGTAAATGGAGACTCCACCCCGAGTCTGTTCAGCTGAAATGGGCGCGATTCGGGGGAGCCCAGATTGTTCTGTTTGCATCCCCCGAGAACGCTCATTGCCAGTTGTTCTTTTCCCTGACCGAGGGCTCTCTCGGCACGGATGCACTGGCTCTCAGCTGGCCTCGGGGCATGCGCAATACGAGTTTTCCCCAGTGAGCCTGCTCGCGCAGTTACTGTGCAAGGTCAGGGGGGGGACGAGGAACAGGTTGCTGATTGCGCCCCTCTGGCCCAACCGGACCTGGATGTCTGAGCTCTTCCTCCTCGCGATGGCCCTCCCCTGGCAGATCCCTTTGAGAGAGCACCTACTCTCTCAGGGACAGGCACCATCTGGCACCGTCGCCCCGATCTTTGGAACCTCCACGGGTGGTCCTTAGACGCGAGGAAGACTTAGGTAACCTACCGATTGCGGTGGTTAATACGTCACTTGGGCTAGAGCCCCCCCCCTCGAGCGCGCCTATGCCCTGAAGTGGAGTCTATTCACTGAATGGTGCATCTCTCGCTGAGAAGACCCCCGAAATTAGCCAGATCAGCATTGTGCTTTCTTACACCAAGAGAAGTTGGAGAGCAGGCTGTCGCCCTCCACACTTAAGGTTACGTGGCTGCCATCTCCGCTCTCATGGTGCGGTGACTGGCAGCACCGTAGGAACGCATAACTTCATCATCCGGTCCCTCAGAGGCACTAGGCAAATTAATCCACCCTGCCCCCTTCTCATGCCCTCTTAGGATCTCGCCCTCATTCACACGAGCCTGCGTCAGATCCCTTCGATCCTCAACTCAGTATCTTTAAGATTTCTGTCCCTGATGACAGCTCTGCTGGTCGCGTTGATATCGATTAGAGGGTCGGGGACCTGGAGGCATTTTTCGGTCAGTGACTCGTGCCTGTAATTCGGGCTGGCTTACTCTCACATTCCTGAGACCCCGCCTGGGATATGTGCCAAGGTTCCTACTACTCCGGTTTAATACCAGGTAGTGAGCCTGCAAGCGCTGCCCCCGGAGGAGGCAGTCACAGCCTTACTTATCCAGTTCGTGCTTTGCGTATTATCTGGACCGCACTCAGAGCTTAGATCATCTGAGCAGCTCTTTGTCTTTTATGCGGTCGGCAGCAGGGAAGTGCCGAATCGAAACAGAGTTGGCCCACTGGTTAGTGCATGCCATCTCTCTCGCTTATCAAAGCTAAGGTGAGCCGTGTCCCCCGAGAGTGTGTGCGCACTCCACTCGGAGCTTCGCATCCTCTTGGGCGCGTGCACCCGGCGCCTTTCTAACAGACATCTGTAGAGCTGCGGGCTGGGCGACACCTAATACATTTGCACAGCCGGTTTCCTCAAGGGTATTAGGTAACCCTTGGTGACTGAGGAAACAATTCCGTTAGGTGTTGAAACACGCCTGCTGCGCCATTCTCCCTAACACGGAGATACGTGCACCTTTTTATCTGTCAGTAAAGTTCCCTGTCAGGTGAGCCCTGCAGATTCCTCCAAGGCCCCCAGCACTGACTTAGCGGAGGAGTCACTTGCTGGCCCACTACGTTGTAGGTCTGCCCGCTGGTCAGCCCGCGTTTTGGGTATAGGTGCCCGCTATGCGTGATCCCCACTAGGCGATCCCATATGCTTATTCAGCCACGGTGCAGTCCCCCCTCACGGGCGGACCCGTGTCTTCCCTCTCCGCTACCCATCCTATTATATGCGTACTCCCCCTTTCAGGGCTAGTCCATATGTATTTTTTTTGCCAACATATCTTCCCCATTTGGGTGCAGTTGGCCTCCGCAGTGTCCTCCTTATCGGGACTGCACGACTTCCCGACATACAACATACTATTATTCCTAGAGTTATCTAGATGCTTGCGACTTCCCAAAAAATATATCTAAATCCGTAGAACTTCTGTTGAAGTGGGATAAGTAAGGGCCAGGGACCACGTTGGAGAACTGCGCCTCTCTTGATGCAGGAGCGCTCACGCTTGCTTGGCAATCCGTAAGGCATAGGTAAGGTGCAGTCATTATGGCGTTTTCCATACTTTCTCCCATTCGTGGATTTATAGTTCAAATCCACTAATAGCATTGGAGTTTCCCATCCGAAGGAGAACGCTCTGGTTACTAAAGTAACCCAATTGCTATTTAGCATCGCCATAATGACTGTTCCTTAGCTGTTAGTTCAGTCTCTTCAGCTTAACAGGATAGCGTGTGCTTGCTCCACCTGTGCTTATATGCGGAGATAATTGGCAATAAGTTCCAGGAGCGCAAGCTTACGCTGCCAATTCATTGGCATTTCATTGGCCCGTTACATACTCTTTCAGACAATTGGCTTTCTGAAAATAGCAGCAAACCTTCTTATTTCTTATTAAATCTTGCGTGTTATTGCGCCGGGTGTATGATAGGGCTCTTAATCTCGATTTGCATTGCACCACTTGTGTTGTGAATATTGTGGATGTACACATTGTGATGCTGATGCTGAAAGGATTTATTGTGCAGCCCAAGCCTTTACATTTCCATAGTATTTAATTTATTTTTATAATTATTCAATTAAAAATAACCTCTTAGACAGTATTCCCTGTTTCTAACTGCAGTTTTAACTTCATTTAGCGAGTGCCAACGTGTGTAATGTTCTACTGATGCGCCACACTGAGCTGTCAGAAGGCATCAGTGTACTAGATGACAAAGGCAATGTGGTAGGCACCTCAAAACTGGCCGCTCGACATGTGAGTATGGATACCTTTGCATTTATTATGAAATCCTATTATGCGTTGTAATCTGATAAATATATTTTTGTTCAGGCTTTGATAGAGACGTCCCTGACCCGTGTGGTGCTGCCCATGCCTGTTCTCCTGCTGCCGCCATTAGTGATGTCACTGCTGGAGAGGTCAGAGCAATGAATTGTGAATTCGACATTTCAGATTTCAGTTATTTTTTGCTGCGCAGTCACACAGTTTACCTCAGAACTCGCACACCCATACATGCCATATGTCAGGGTATATTTGTATTTCACAGCTTGTGCATGTGTTTAAAGGAATAGAATGCTAAAAAATGAAAATTCCTTCATCATTTGCATAACCTTATTTCGGTGCCATTTTTGTGAAGGTTCTAAAGCTGCATACACTAAAAAATGACTTTTGCTGCAAAGTACCTATTTTAAATGAGTTTAAACAACACCGTTCTTAAGTTTTTATGGGAGGGACAACATAATTGTTATATGTTCAGTCCAGTTAATTTTATAAAAGCAGTTAAGTTAACTTAAACAATTTGTGTAGGGACAATATGATGCAGTTGTGTGGAACCCACAATTTTCCAGTGTATCTCACCTTAAATAAAACACTGGGTTTAACACAATTGATTTGTGTTGGCGCAAAACGAAGGAATTATGTTAACTCATTAGTTTTTACAAATTTAAGTGGATTGAACATAAAACAATTAAGTTGTCCCCCAAAAACCCCAAGAATTGGGTTGTTTTAGTTCATTTTAAATAAGTAGCTTGAAAAGAGAGCAAAAATATATAAATTAATGTTTTATTTAGCAAGGAGCAGAAGTGATACATTTGAACTGTATTGTTAAAAAAAATGATTTAGTGGCTAATCCGTATCTCATTTGTACAATTTAGTGCGATTTGCTCATCCCCAATGACGGCTGGGTTTAGTGGTAGGATTGAGTGGCATGCCTCCTTTTTAAAATCCTACACTTCGTATGACTGACCTCATTAAACTGACAAAAGTTAAATATTTATGTTTCCTTGTGAGATCTGGGGTGCTTTTCCAAACATTGTGGCTGAACTATCATCGTATGGTGCATCGTTTGAGTTAGATGCTTTGTCTCAGATCCATCATTTGAACCACGTTAGTTATAAACTGGGCAGGGTAACAACTTCTTTAGAGAAAAAAGCACAACTTTTGTGCAAATCTTATTGTTTTACTCATAAACACATTTATTAATTTTTTTAAATCCAATATAGTTTTGATAAAAAAACATGAATGTAAAAAATCCTACTTAATAATACAAATTATTATTATTATTAGTAGTAGTAGTATTTTTACTACTTGTACAACTTTGACACATTAAAACCGCTGCAGAAATGTTCTAACCAACATATCAGTAGACTACATTTCTAAATAAATAGCCTACTATAAATTAAAAGCATTACTTTTTAATAGTAGGTCACCTCTAGCATTCCTCAAGAGCCATGGCTGTGTTTAAAATGGCATAAATATTTTTAAAGTGCACTATGAAGGTAACGCAATTGTCAATATGAAGATCGCTAAAACTGAACTGTAAAAATACTTAAAAAGCAAATAACATGTGAGAGATATCCTTAATGTTTTTTTTTTTTTTTTTGACCATTCCAAGTTTAAATGTTAGAATGTTCTAAATTAATAGGGCATAGGGGGGATAACTGAGAATAGAACACAACCAGGATCCATGCTTCTAACTACAGCTCTAGAGGTGTAGTTACAAGCTTCCAAGTTTCCATGCAGTTTGTAAATGTTCATTGGAACGATGGATTTGGGAAACACCAAATCAACAAACTATGTAACGATGGAACTTGCGACCTTAGTTGGCTAACAAAATTTTTGGAAACGCACCCCAGGCTGGTTATTACAAAAACTGGGTAAGAACAAGGTAGTTGTTGTAAATGAGGGCGATGCCAACCCTCTTGTGCACCACCAGAGGGAACCATCGCCAGAATTCTGATTCGACTCACGGACTCAAAATCCCATAAGCCCTGCTACCTGGCACTGATTACGGTCCAGGTGCAACTCATCAGCTCTCGTGTATATATACCACACTCACGCTCCGGTTCGTTGCGAAGTCTTGATTTGCCTGGCTGTCATTTCTGAGCGTTCCATACTCCCTGCTTCGGACTGATCTGTGTTTCTGACCCTGTGCTTGTTCTACGATTACGAAAGACATCTGCCTGCCCCTGATCTCCAGCCTGTTATTCGGACCAGTAAGATATCTGCCTGCCTTTGAACTTTTGCCTATCCCACGTTCTGTCTCCTGGATTGCCCCTTTGTGTTTGTTTGTATGTGTGCTCTTAATAAAGCTTGCAAATGGATTCAATGCCTTCTGACTCATCACAACAGAAGACTTCGCCACTACAGAATCCAGCAGCTTTAGCACAAGTCTCGACTGAACTTTCCGCTCAAGCCACTCAGTTAGCCACCCATCATCAACAACTCACCCATCTAACTTCTCTCACGGAGGAACTGGTGAGAGCTATGCAGCAACTCCGTCATCCGAATCCTGCAGTTACCCCGCCTGCTACCATGACAGTTTCTCAACCAACGCATGTCTCCAATGCTCCGGCTACCGTAAGTCCCCGATTAGCTTTTCCTGATAAGTTTGATGGGTCACCTTCTCGCTGCAAAGGCTTCTTATTGCAATGCAAACTATTTGTTAACCAACAACCTGCATTATATCCCACTGATTCTAGTCGGGTGGCTTTTGTATGCAACCTGTTAACGGGGAAAGCGCTGGAATGGGCTACAGCGATATGGAAGGAGGAGGAATGTAACTATCCCTCATTTGAAACTTTTCTCAAGCAATTTCGGGAAGTGTTCGAGCACCCAGCAGATGGGAGAAGCCCCGGTGAGCAGTTACTTTCTCTTACACAGGGGCGTAACACAGCTGCAGAATACGCCCTGTCATTTCGCACTCTCGCCGCTCAAACTAACTGGGTTGAGGATACACTGAAGACACTATTCAGACGGGGTCTGAATACCAATCTACAATCTGAATTGGCTTGCCGTGACGAAGGAAAGAAATTGAACGAACTCATTGAACTTACCATCCGTCTTGATCATCTGATCCGCAGCCGTAGAAATCCTCGCACACAGCTCCATGTTTCAAGTGACACGCCCCCTGATGAACCCATGCAACTGGGTTTCACCCGTCTCACCCATGAAGAAAGAATGCATCGATTGCAAAATCATCTATGCCTGTACTGCGGTCAATCAGGGCACAGGAAATCCACCTGCAGCGTACAACCTCAAACACCAGTTCAATCGGTGAGTCCTTCCCATGTTCCTGCACTTTTCAGTGTACTGATTCCTGTGATTATTAAATTTGATAAAAGAGTGATTAATACTACGGCTCTTGTCGACTCTGGATCTGCCGGAAACTTTATATCTAAGAAATTTGCTTTATGTCACGAACTATCTCTCAGCTCATATGATTCCTGTCTTGCAGTGGAAGCACTAGACGGTCGTCCTGTGGGTGAAGGACGCATCCGTATGATTACGAATAAGCTACAGTTACAAGTTGGTGTTCTACACATTGAAGAAATGCAATTCTACATTATTGATTCAGTTAATCATCCACTGGTGTTGGGACTGCCCTGGTTAAGGCGACATGATCCTCATATCTCCTGGAGGGACGGACAGATATTGCAGTGGAGTGAGTCATGCATGAAACAGTGCATCCAGCCCATTCACAAAATTCCATTACGAACCACCAATGTGTTACCTGAACTCGTTGATGAATTAATCCCCATTGAGTACCATGACTTACATGAAGCTTTTAGCAAACAAAAAGCTACTCAACTTCCCCCACATCGACCAAGTGATTGTGCTATTGAGTTAATTCCAGGTTCAAGTCCTCCAACGGGTCGAATATTCCCTCTGTCACAACCTGAGCACAAGGCAATGTCTGAATATATCGACGAGGAATTGGCCAAGGGTTTCATCCGACCTTCTACATCTCCTGCTTCAGCTGGATTCTTCTTTGTAAAGAAGAAAGATGGCAGTTTACGTCCCTGTATTGATTACCGAGGGCTCAATGAAATCACCGTAAAATTCCGCTATCCATTACCCCTCGTACCTCCTGCCCTGGAACAATTAAGAAAGGCTAGATATTATACCAAGCTTGATCTTCGCAGTGCATATAACCTGGTCAGAATCCGTGCTGGTGACGAGTGGAAGACCGCGTTTTCCACCACTAGGGGGCACTATGAGTACACGGTAATGCCCTTCGGCCTGTCAAACTGTCCATCCGTGTTCCAATCTTTTATGAACGATGTCTTTCGGGATATGCTAGATCGCTGGGTCATCATTTACATCGACGACATCCTCATATATTCAAACACGATGAAGGAACATGTTGAACATGTACGTATGGTGTTGCAACGCATGATTCAACATCGTCTGTACGCCAAATTAGAGAAGTGTGAATTTCACCAGACACAGATCGCCTTTTTGGGATACGTCATCAGTGCAGAAGGGATTACCATGGATGATACGAAGGTACAGGCAGTTCAACGATGGCCGTTACCCCAGAATCTCAAGGAGTTGCAGCGATTTCTAGGTTTTGCCAACTTCTATAGACGGTTTATCAGAGGCTTTAGTTCAATAGCCGCACCATTAACAGCCATGACCAAACGAAATTCCCACAAACTATCCTGGTCCTCTGAAGCACGCCAAGCATTTAACGATTTGAAGACTCAATTCACCACAGCTCCTATTCTCCGTCATCCCAACCCAGACCTACCTTTCATTGTGGAAGTGGATGCATCCAACACAGGAGTCGGTGCTGTGTTATCTCAACGTCAGGGTCAACCATCCAAAATGTATCCATGTGCCTTCTTCTCCCGTAAATTGACCAGCGCAGAACGAAACTATGATGTGGGAAATCGCGAATTACTGGCAATGAAATTAGCCCTGGAAGAATGGAGACACTGGCTGGAGGGGGCTAGTCAGCAATTCACCATATTAACTGACCACAAGAATCTGGAATATCTTCGCTCAGCCAAACGTCTAAATCCCAGACAAGCTCGTTGGGCTTTGTTCTTCACCAGATTCGACTTCATTGTCACCTATAGACCAGGGAGTAAAAATAGTAAGGCAGATGCACTATCCAGGCTATCAGAGGAAAAAA